GGGCCGGGCGCGGTGGCTCACGCCTGTCATCCCAGCACCCAGGGAGGCCGTGGGAAGACCGCTTGAGCCCGGGAGTTCAAGACCAGCCTGGGCAACACGGCGAGGGCTCGTCTCCACAAAAGGCATCCAGGCCTGTCTCAGCTACGCAGGAGGCCGAGGCAGAAGGATCGCCTGAGCCCAGGAGGCCGAGGCTGCGGTGAGCCATGATCATGCCGCGGCGCTCCAGTCGGCATGACGGAGTGAGACCCTGACTCAAAAATATTAAAAATAGGCCGGGCTGGTGGCTCAGCCTGTAATCCCGTCCCTTTGGGAGGCTGCGGTGAGTGGATTGCCTGAGCCCGGGGGTTCGAGACCCGCCTGGGCAGGCGAGACTTCATCTCTACAATAAAATCAAAAACTAGCCGGGTGTGGTAGCGTGCACCTGTAATTCCGGCTACTCAGAAGGCTGAAGCGGAAGGATCGCCGGAGCCCAGCAGGTCGAGGCTAGGGTGGCCGGGAGCGGCCACTGCACGCCAGTCTGGGCGACAGAGTGAGACTCCAGCTCAAAAAATAAATACATACATACATACATACATAAAAAGCTTGAGGCAAACCAGATGAATACAAGTCTGAATCCTGACTCGGGCCAACCAGCCACAGTATATGAACCATGTACATGTGCGTGCCATGTAGCCTGTGCACACATACCTTGCATGTGCACACGCATCGACAGAGGCACACATGGACTAGTGCATGTGTGTACAGGTGTGCTACATGCATGTGCGTGTGGATATACATATATGCACATCTGCGGATACATGTGTGCACACACACGGACATTCTTTAACAGACAACCGGGGAATGCAAACAGATATATGGCGTAAGAACTTTTTTAGTGTGAGAACGGCACCGTAATCACCCTTCTGGAGAATTCTCCCTCAGAAGTTCTCCGTCTCCACTGCTCACACGAGCAGATGCCTGGGGTTTCCCTTAAAAACGCAGGGGAGGGCACATGGAGCAGACTGTTTCTGCAGTGGGGACAGGAACACGGACCTCACACTTCTCGCTCCCCCTTTACGTCTGAAAGCTCCGGTCTTGACGAGTCTGTTTCTACTGCACGCACTAGAAGACGCCGCCTCTGTGCCTGCCTGCTTACCTGGCAATCATTAGGTCAGGGCAGAGCCTCATGGGAATGCCACTATATGCCCAGGACCGCCCTGACGCTGCCTGGCAGCAGAGCGCCCGCCCGCCCTCAACGTGACAGCCGTTTTCCGAAAGTCGAGACATTCTCGCGGGACGGAATTAGAAGACGTGAAAACCTTTATTTTCCAAAAGAGAATGTATCTTTACATAAATCTACAACAGAATTCAAATGTAGAAAAAATAAACTATATTCAGGGATACAGCGCTCAGCACGGCAAGGCCCCAGGCGGGCGAGCGTCACGCAGGCCTGCAGAAGGCGGGCAGGGGCAGGCTGCGCGTGGATGGACCGCTGGTGCCGTCAGGCAGGGCCCAGACCCCCAGCGTCCAGGACAAAGGCCAGCCTGCTGTACTGCAGCCAACTCTCAGCCAGCCAGCCCATCTGCACGTCTCTGCCCGCAGGAGGGGCCAGCAGGGAAGCTGCCAGAAGCGAGCCTGGACGCCTTGCCTGCACTGGCCCCCAGGAGGCCTCAGGGGACGCCTGCACCAGCACACAAGCCCTGCCCCGGCCTGTCCCACCCAGGGCTCTGTTTCTCCAGAACCCCAGGCTGTGGACTCCAGGCCACAACGGCCCTCAGCCATCACGGGGCACTGCGGCCCACGCCCACAGAGGTCCCCACGGGCAGACTGGGTCTGGGCTTCACTCCCGAGTCCTTTGTGGCCCCGTGAGTCGCTGTGCAGGAGTCCCGCCTCGCCCTAGCCCTAAGCCCAGGGAGCCACGTCGCCAGCAGCCCCGGCTGGAGCAGAAGCAGGCAGGAGAGGGTGGGAGGGCCAGGCCTGCTCACAGCACCCAGCTCCCAAGAGGTGCCGCCCAGAGACGGAAGACTGGGGCGGCACAGGCTTTCCAGCCCTCACGTGCCCGAGTCTGACCTGGAGCAAAGGACCAGGAGGCCTGCCCACACCTCGGCCTCCCACACCTGAGGGGGCACGTCGGGCACCCGGCTCCTTCCCCACCACGGCCTCCCACGCCTCCCAACTCCTCACCGACACCAAGCCCCAGGGACGGCCATCCTCAGAGAGAACAGACACGCCAGTCAGGGCTCGGTCTTCCGGAGGGACGCCTCCAACTCCCACCCATGGGAGACGTGTCATGCAAGGATGTAGTGGCCATGGCGTTCACACACCTACCCCCACTACAGCTGTGGCACTGCCTGTGTGGACACCATGCCCAGGACCAGGCTGTGGGTGCGAGAACTGCAGACGTCCAGACACAAGCGCACGACACGGGAGTGACCGCATGTCACTGTGCTTTCCAGAAAGACTTGAGAAGATGCGGGGAGTTACCACGGGCAGGAATTGAACAGTCAGAGCCGTGGTGTCAGGACATCGACTCAACAGAGGGACGGCCTGTAGGTCGGGGGAGGCCACAGGCGTGGTGGGGTCACCACCGCATTCGCACTTGAAATCGAGTATCAAAAAGTACAGAACAGTGACTGGAGAAAACACAACTCATGGCAAGTTGAACTTCACCCTTTTGTAATAAAAAATTAAAAACTTCTGTGAACTCTGTGAACACAACGCAGACGAGGACTCCCTGATGGAGCAGGAGACGGGGCCAGACGTGCCCCCGCGGCTTTGGAACTCTGCGGGCCACGCCTCCCCACGGCCACCCCACCTTCCGGGGGAGCCGCGCCCTGCAGTCCCGCCCCAGCCGGCCGGCGGCCTGCGTCTCCCGCCCTCCCGCCACCAAGCAGTCGGCAGCCGCCTCAGCAGTCGCTCTTCCAGAGCTTGATGGTCTTGTCGTTCTCCAGCGCAGCCGAGGCGATGATGTTCTCCGTCGGGTGGCAGGCGGTGGAGATCACGACGTCTGGAAACCAAGACAGGCAGGCGTGTTCGTGCCGACGTGCTCAGAAGCGCAGGCGGCAGGACCCGCACCCACTGCCACCACCCGTCTGGCACAGGGCGCCCATGGATGACAGCTGGAGCAGCAGCGGCCGGGGCAGGCGTGACAGGCGCTCGAGGCAGGCCATGGAGGGGACTCCGTGGAGGCTCTCTGTCTGGTGGGAGGGGCACGCAGTCCACAGCCCCCAGGATTGGCCAGAAGGTCCTCAGTCCCTTGTGGACAGCGGCCCTCTTCCCAGCACCTAGGCGGCCCCTCCAGCTGCCTCCCGCCAACACCCAGCCCAAGAGCACCGCGCAGCAGTTCTGCCACTGTGCGGCCAGCCCACCCCACAGGGATGTGGGACCCGGGACCCAGGCGCCAGCGCGCGAGGTGGGCCACATGATGCGCTCACAGCCTCCATGTCAACTGACCCAGGACGCTTTGCATGCCCTGCGTAGCGTCCGACTGGCATGGGTGTGCCTGGCCACCAAGGCACGGACAGTGGGCAGAAGCCAAGCGCCCCTTCTGCACAGGTGGGGACAGCCCAACCTGGGTGGAACGTGGGCACTGGCCCGATGGTGCAGCCCATTCCTGTCTGGGTGGGTGGCTTATTACAGAGGAGAGAGGGCAGCACTTCCTAGATGCTCACCACAGCTCTTGGTGACCCACAAGACACAAAAGTGCCAGGAGGGCCCAGGGCAGGGGGACCCAGGGAAAAGCATCCAGGGGGCTCAGAGCCGCCCAGTCTACCTGAGACTCAGGCTGCCTGGAAGGGGGGCCAGCGTCCCAAAAGAAGCCAGAACCTCCAAGACACAGACACAGAGGCCCCACCAACCCCAGGCAAGGAAACAGTGTGGAACGGGACAGAGAGGGACCACATCCACTCAGAAGTGACAGAGCCACATGGTTTCCTGGACCCAACACCTCAGAAAAGAGACGGGACAAGCTAGCAGCATGGGTCTGGCTCAGGGCCCAGCACTGACCTGCAGGTGACCCTGGCCCATGTAGCACACTCCAATATGGCAGAACCCCCAGGGCCACAGAGGGCGGAGGAGGAGGAGGAGAAGGGATGCAGGTGGCATAAACAGACCCGTCCCACACGTCACCACAGAACACGGGGGTGTGATGAACACGGGCACTCACCTGTGTGGCCTTGTAGCTTCTGCACGATCTCTTTTGTCTGAAGATTCCAGATGTAAACCAGGTTATCCTCCGAGCCAGACACAATCCACTGGGCAGCAGCAGGTAGGAAGACAGATGAGGAGATGCTGGTCAGAGCTCATGCGACAGGACAAGGTCGCCAGGTACTCGCCTGCCCACCCATCCTGCCGGTGGCTGTGGGGTCAACTCCAACGAGAAGCCCCCGGCCTTGCGCCCAGCCTGAAGCCGCCTCCTCACTGGGGGGCCAGCCATGCCTGGAGAACCCCAGCACCCCATCTGCCCAGGCAAAGGCTTCTGGCTGCAAGATGCCTTCTTGAGGGACCCTTTCCTGAGCTTCTGTGTTGCTCACCCTACTCAGCGTTACCCTACTCTTAGACACGCCCACCTCAACAGCAGCGCCAAAACCAGCACAGGCGGAAGAATGGCCCCCTCCCTGGTGGGGCAGGGGGGTCGTGGACGACAGCCTCAGAGCCAGTGCCTACTCATGGACCCCAAGCTACATCTGCCACACCTGACTCCACAGCAAGGTGTCAGCCAGTCACTCCTAGCAGAGCCTCACGATGGGGTACTGGCCTCCCTTAAAACGACTGGGGTGAGGCCGGGCACAGTGGCTCACACCTATAATCCCAGCACTGCAGAAGGCCAAGGCGGGAGGATCGCTCGAGCCTAAGGGTGCAAGACCAGCATGAGCAACATAGCAAGACCTCGACTTTACAAAAGAAAGACAACAAAACTAGCACATGCCTGTAGGCCCAGCTACTCAGGAGGCTGGGGCGAGAGGCTCACTTGAGCCCAGGATGGGTGAGGCTGCTGCGAACCATGATCATGCTACCACACTCTAGCCTGGGCAACACAGTGAGGCCCTGATTCAAATGAATAAATAAATAACTCACTCCTCTTTGCTTTGTGTGCACAGAAAATGTCTCCAGAAGCATTCAGCCCCAGAGCAGGTACGACTGCCAGGGTCAGGGGAGAGCTGCTGGGAAAGGGAGATGGGGGGAAACTCACCTTCCCGCCAGTAACGGAGAAGTTGGCAAATATGCAGTACTTCTCATTCTTGTGGCCAGTGTACGTCTTCAGGCACTGAAACGGTAGAGGCCAGGCTGGTCAGAGTCACAAATCCTAGGCACACTGGGTAATTCTAGGCACGCATGTCCTACCCATGGCCAAACTTAGTTCTGAAAAGTACGTCAGCTATAGACGAGTGAAACACCCACACAGCGAAAGCTCTTACGTGCAGACCAGCCATCTATAAACACCACACCAGCTCCATGGGGATGGCCTTCTGCCCTCCCATGGCCTGAGCCAGCACTGCTCCTACGGAGCCAGGACCAGGACAGCGCAGCACAGGCCCAGCCACCGCGTGCCCGGAGCTGGCGTGGCAGAAAGCTCACCTTGCCTTTGCTGTAGTCCCAGAGCTTCAGGGTGCTGCAAGAGAGAGAGGGTGAGGTGTCACTTCTGTCAGTGTGTCCGACAGCTGCCACTATGTCACAGCAGCCATCGGCGTCTGGCGCAAAGTCAGCAGGGCTGGAGTCCTCCCTGCATTACAGTGGGAGTCCCACGGGGAGGTCCCCCAGGCCCACCAAGTCCAGGGTCCTGGCAGCATCTGAGGGCACTCCATGACAGCTTCAAACACCCGAAGTCCAACATAGACTTTAAAAGGAAGCTGACGGGTGTCACTATCCCTGCGTAGCCAGGGTCAGCCTTAGAGGGGCTGTGGAGGCTGCCTCTCTGCCAGAAACACCCAGAACAGGTCCCACAGGCAACACTGCTTACCCTGGGGCAGGAGTTTACTCCAATCACCGGGACAGGGCTGACTGGGGAAAGGGCCTGAGCACAGCCACAGGGGAGCTGGAGCCAGGCTCAGTTCCTCAAGGCTGCCAGAGGGCGCACGCGGGAGGCCAGAGCTCCAGGGATGCCCCGAGAACGACAGTATCCAGCACTGTGAGACTCTGCTCCAGACTTTGGTTAGAGGTAAAATCGAGGGCCGAGCACAGCGGCTCAAGCCTGTCATCCCAGCACTTTGGGAGGCCGAGGTTCGAGACCTGCCTGGACAACTGGGTGAGACCTCGTCTCGACAATAAATCAAAACATTAGCCAGGTGTGATAGTGCACGCCTATGGTTCCAGCTACTTGGAAGGTTGAGGCAGAAGGATCACCTGAGCCCAGCAGGTCGAGGCTGCGGTGGCCAGGAGCATTCTACTGCTCTCCGGTGGGCAGCAGAGTGAGAATCTGACTCCAAATAAAAACCAAGGAGCTCAGAGGTGAAAACTACCAAGGGCCCAAGGCCCCGCCCCCACCCCTTGTGCAGGAAGGCTCAGCCTGCCCTGGCCCCAGTTGCTCAGTGCAACACTGGGCCTCCAGCCCAACCCCCCAGCCTGTAGCCTCGGTTCCTGCAGGAGCCTGGCCACACAGTAAGCACAAAGCGCCCTCCACAGTGTGGCATGCCAGAGAGCAGGCATCCCTGGCCCGAGGCCGCCCACCACTCCATGGGCACAAAGCACTCACTTGTCCAGCGTGGCAGCCAGGATGTACTTGCCGTTGGGAGAGAACTTGACAAACGACACCGGGGGGTTATCGTCATCTGCAGGGAAACACGCAGACTGACCTGGGCAGCTCTACCGGGGGAGGAGGCAAGACCCGCTCCCTGTCACCCATGCAGGTGTCTGTGTGAAGTCACAGCCACCAGTGCCAACGCCACCACCAGGAAGCCTCGGAGAGCCACCACGCCCTTTGCCAAAGTGAGCAGGGTCTCCCGGTGCCTACAGACACGACCCGGGGGCCCTGACACCAGGACTTCTGGAACACGGGGCTGGGGGCACAGGAGCGGCCACAGGACATCACCTCCCATGAGAGGGAGCTGTGAGGACCCCACCCAGAGAGGAGCTCCAAGGAGGGGATTGGGCACGTCGGCTCGGGTGTCCCTGCTGCGTGGTCCACGTGCCCCAGAACCCACGGCCCCACCACACCCGCAGCCTCCTCTCCAGTGCTCTGCGCCTAGAAGTTCCACCGGGCGCCCTGCCCTTCCTCATGCAAGTGAAAGAGGCAATGCGCCCAGAAATTCCAACAGGGTCGGAGTGTTTAGGCTGTGGTCACCCTCTAGTCCTCATGACAGGACAAGGTGCTCTCCTCTAGCCCAGGTGAGCAGGAGGGAAGCTGAAGATGGTGCGCCCTGGTGAGTCTGTCTGGCTGGTCAAGGGGCCTCAGTTACCAGGTCCACCTTAGGCCTGCCAGAGGCCCCTGGGCGTGCGCATGTGTGAGTATGTCCCTAGCACCAGAAAGGGCACAGCACACGGCTTTACCACAGGGACACCGGGCCTCGCCAGGCGCCCAGGGCCTCTGCTCCCTCGGCTCGGTCAAACACACTGCAAAGGCACGAGATGGTGTGAAACCACGCAGGCCCTCACTTGGGGTCCCACGTGTCCCACAGCCAGGCAGGCAAGGGCACAGCGAGAGGGAGCGGGCCACATGATTCGGTGGCTATAAAAGCCCCGTGTCTCCAACTCAGGCCACCTTGGAGAAGTCTGCGGGGAACGTCTCGGCCACTGTCTCAGTGATGCCTGGGAAGGCTGATCTGCCAGACCCATGGAGAAGTCAGGAGGGAAGACCGTCCCACCCCTTCCCTGCCCACCCTGTGCTCAGTGGGCATGCCAGCTGCCCCCTGCCTGGCCCGAGTTCTGGCCTCAACCAGACCTACTGTGTGGCTCTGGGGACAACAGTCACTCTACAGAACAAGGACAAAACCCCCACCTACAAGGTGGTGACGGGGTTCGCATGTCCACATGACAGCTCAGGCACCAGATGCTGCCAGCTGCCGTGCAGGTGAGCAAGTGTCTTGGCTCGAGGGAGCAGACCGTGCAGCCTCTGTGTGGGAGACGTGGCAACAGTGTGACCTTGCTGTCACAAGTGAGAAGGCGCACCCAAAGGATGGCCTCTCTGGGCAAGAAAAGAAAACCACAAGGTGTGGGCGAAACAGAGGAAGCACCCGTCACAGGGTAACTGTGCCCCCCAAACTCATTTTGAAGCACCAGCCCTCAAAACCTCAGAAGGTGGCTGGATCGGGGACAGGATGGTCAGAGAGCTGGTCTCATGAAAACAAGGCTCGACTGTAATCCCGCGCCTTTGGGAGGCTGAGTTGAGTGGACTGTCTGAGCCCGCGGGTTCGAGACCCGCTTGGGCAACTTGGCGAGACCTCATCTCTACAATAAATCAAAAAATCAGCCGGGCGTGGTAGCGCGCGCCTGTAGTTCCAGCTACTTGGAAGGTTGAGGCGGAAGGATTGCCGGAGCCCAGCGGGTCGAGGCTGCGGTGGCCGGGAGCGGCCACTGCACTCCAGTCTGGGTGACAGAGTGAGACTCTAACTCAGATTAAAAAAAAAAAAAGAAGGAAAGCAAGGCTCGAATCCCATTGGATGGTATGAGGAACAAATCTGGACACGTGGGGTGCCAGGATGCACAAGCAGAGGAATGCCCACATGAGGGCAAGAGACCCTGTCTCTGTGCTCCTGGGGTACCTCTGCCCACCTCAGTGGCATCCCAGATGGGCAGGAATCCAGATAGGGGATCTACCGCACATGCTCGAGGGGCGAACACCTTGGGGCCAGCAGCTGGGGTAGGGGACAGGGCCTGGGGGCTCAGAGAAGGACCCAACGAGCAGCCCCTTGAGGCCAGACAGCACAGGCCAAGAGGCCTCGACAGCAGGTAAGAAAAGTCAGGGCAGGAACCTTAGCTGCCCCGAGGGAGGCAGCAGTGTGAATGCATGGTCAGGAATGGGGGATCCTCCCGGAGGGACAGAGCGGGCGAGGGAGATGACCCCAGAAGGGGCTTCCGGAAAAGCCTCAGAGCAAGCAAGGACTCCTGCTGAGAACAAAGGCCCCGGAGGGCAGGGCACTCACCAATGAGCGTCTTCAGGCACTGGCCCGACGCAGTGTCCCAGATGCGGCTTCAAGGCAGAGGAACAAAACAGCGGAAAGCCAGTTACCATGGGCAGCTCGGGCGCCATGCCAGCCAAACACGAGTGCAGGCGAACGTGCTCTCCCGTCTCGTATCTTAACACTAAGCTTCCCACACCAAACGGTCATTCTCTCATGTTCTAGGGACACGTGTGGCCACAGACGCGGCCACACATGCTCGCCACACGTTCTTCCACAAGCTGCCGACCCGCCACCCTTCCCTGCTGAGGTGCAGTTTTCTGGACCCTTCCCAGAGCGGGTATGCCAAGCACTCAAGCCATTCTAGTTTCAGGGCTTTGGTCTGTGCCAGTACAGACGCCTTCTGAGAGAAGAGCCAGGTTTGCACCTGCACATCCACACAGACCCCAGTAGGACTCAGGACAGGTGGGGCCGACATCCCTGGTCCCAGCCCCATGCCGCATGCCCTCCCCAGCTGGCACGGCCGACTCCTGTGGCTCCCACTCCGACTGCCAAGCGGCTCCTCTCCACCCCGCAGACGAAGCCCCTGGCTGGCCGGCTCACATTCATCTCTGCCCTACTTCACCCCACTGCCCCCTCAGTCAACCCGGGGACCAGGCTGTGCCGTGTGCCACCACCACTGCACCTCCACTGCCTCCAACGCAGCAGCAGATGCCCCCCGCCCCTCTCCACTCTCGACCCCAGCGAACAGCTCCACGGGACACCCTCTGGGCCCGAAATGATCTAGTTCCAGACACCCCAGAGGGGTCCACGTGGAGCCGCATCACGGGGTGACAGCACCTGCCCACCCTACACACTGGCGTCCTTTCAACTCCACGTTGTCATCTTCTCCACAGGTCCCGCGTTCCTGTTAGACGTACCCCTAGACACTGTAGCACCTTCACCTGTCACCCTGGGAACCTTCCCCGTCTCAAGCATGGACCTTGGCAAGTGCATGACCAAGTCACAGCATGTGGCCTGGGCTCCAAGCCCATGGCCAGATCCTGCTCTGCCACTTGCCATCTGAGGGACAGCAGCCAGTGAGTGTGTGTCCCCTGCCTGAAGAGTGGGTTAGATGGATAAATATGTGAAAAAGCACGGTGTTGGTAGCTCTCAAATTCTTAAAAATGTACAAACGTATCATCTACACAGCGGCAAATCTCTACTCAATTTTTTTCTTTTAAATGTAACTAGTTGGGCTGGGCATGGTGGCTCATGCCTGTAATCCCAGCATGTAGAGAGGCAGAGGCGAGGACTGCCTAAGCTCAAGGGTTCAAGACCCGCCTGGGACTTGGTGAGACTCCATCTCTACAATTAAAAAAAAAAAAAAATTAGCCAGGTGTGATGGAACGCCTGTAGTTCCAGCTACTTAGAAAGCTAAGGCAGAAGGACCTCCTGCACCCAGCAGGTAGAGGCTGCGGTGGCCATGAGCGTGCCACTGTACTCCAGCCTGGGTGACAGAGACTCCCACTCAAAATAATAGATAAATAAAATGTAACGATTTATGTAAATAACAAAGGATCTCACCATGTTGCCGAGCCTGGTCTTGAACCTCTGGCTTCAAGGGATCCTCCTGCCTTGACTCCCAGTGCTGGGACTACAGGCGTACACTACAGCACCAGCCCCCAGTCTTCATATATTATTTTCATTTTCTATCACATCAGTGGCTTCTTAACTTTTTTTTTTTTTGAGTTGGAGTCTCACTCAGTCACCCAGACTGGAGTGCAGTGGTCACTCCCGGCCACCACAGCCTTGCCTGCTGGGCTCCAGAGATCCTTCCGCCTCAGCCTTCCGAGTAGCCAGAATTACAGGCATGCGCTACCATGCCCGGCTGATTTTTTTTATTTATTGTAGAGATGAGGTATCCCTGCCCAGGCGGGTCTCAAACCCGTGGGCTCAGGCAATCCACTTACCTTAGCCTCCCAAAGGCGCGGGATTACAGGCTGAGCCACCAAGCCCGGCTAACTTTTTAAAACATAGAAGCGTATCATCTACAAAGAGGTTAAGTCTCTACCCAATTGTCATATGACTATTATTTTCATTTTCCTATCACATTAACTAGAAACTCCCAACAGTACTGAGTAACGGGGGAAATGGGCCTGCTTTGCTCCTGATTTTAGCAGCAACACTTTCAGCAGCTGCTGAATATTATGGAAGTTGTTTGCTTCTGGTAAAGAGTTAACACTATTGGCCTAGCTTGCTGAAGGCCCTAAGGAGCAATTGCCAGGTCAGGGCAGGTGCCTTCTGACTTCTACTCATACGTTACATGGATCTTTGCCTTTCATCTGTTTTTGTTGTTGTTGTTTTCGAGTTGGAGTCTCGGTCGCCCAGACTGGAGTGCAGTGGCCGCTCCCGGCCACTGCAGCCTCGACCTGC